AGTCCTACACGAGAGAGTTGGGAATGCATAGGCACCACCAAATAGATGTTGATACTTAGAACTACGGATCCAAGCACCTAATAACCTCCTGTCCTATAATTAATACTCTTCTTCCCAAGATGCTAAACTCAAACATCTCAGGAAGGGTACTTTGCACCTTAATGAACGTAAGGGACCGGCGAACCAACTACCAGCAAAGCACAACAAACTGGCCCGACCTCGCTGTGGCCAGCTTGCATGAGCGTCAGCATTGCCTTCGTCAAGCAACAAGTACCAGAACGACAGCACACGATGAGGTCTCGACGTGGTTTCGACTGTCCTAACATCCTTAGCGCCGGCAAGCTTATGTCATGAAGGCACATGGAGGACTCTGACCGATGCAACGGTTGAGCTAAGCAGGCATGAGAAGAACATGCAAGGAGAGAAAATTTTGTCAACAATGTAGATGACCGATTGCCAACTGGCTGCCTCTCCTCACGATGTGCGCCTCGAGCTGACTTGACGTGCACTTGTCTCGAAGCAGTTGTGGTTCCCATTGCTTTCTGTAAGCTGGTGTCCCTCAATGCTCTATAATTTCTCCGGGAATCCTAAACCCAAAGCCCGAAAGAGCACTGCCTGCCAAGCGCTTTCCTGCAAAGCTCGATGTGAAGGGTGGGCGCCCACCGCAGAAAGCAGCAACTTTGCCGGGCTGCCTGTCGAGCCTGGCCGCTCAGTGGTTTCGGCGCTCACAACTCGGACGATTCCAGGCGAGGCATGTGTGTACCCATAGGCCCCATAGTAGTTCCTTTTTGGGATTACCTTATAGGATTCTACATATGAACCCCCAAAAGGAACTACTATGAGGCCTATGGGTAGTTCAAAGTTTAAGCTTCAGGGCTAAGGATGGTACAGGGTTCTGGTCACGAGCATGCCCGGGCCTTTGTAGCCATCTGCCCAGTAGCGTGGCAAGCAGCAGTGGATCACCTTTTGCAGACAAGCCTAACGAATCTTACCCTTGCAGGAACCTGCTATGGGAACCGTTCGATGATGTAACCCCGATAGGAGGCTGTGTACACGATCATACACCGTCCGATGCGCTGAAGCTCTAGTAAGGACAATGCCGAAGGCTCAACCAATTTCAGCTGAGCACTTCAGTCGACGATCACACTTGGGGTTTAGACTTTCTTTGGACTCTCGCACCTCAGCTTGGGCCACTGTTGAGGTTTGAGGATGTTCAAGGTAGTTTACGGCTTTTCTTCATCATAACAGCGCAACACTTGATGAGGGTTACTGTGCTTGTGTGCTGAATGCAACAAACCCTACTGTAGCGTGCGCAGTGATGTCGGTGCCATATACCACACAAGCACTTCTCACCAATTCGCTTGCTCCTGCCCTGAAAAACCTGTGGACTCGGACCGTTGGTGCCTTTAGGACTTCTGGGGCCGCCACTTGAGAGGCCAAAGAAAGCACTGCTGGCACGGTCTTATGGCCTCGCAATGCCTCTCGGGAAGCAGGACAAACTAAGCCTAGGAATAGGATTTAACGCGTGGAGCTTCAAGTTGTAGGGTTTCAGGCCTCAGATGGCTACAGGACTTCGGGTTCAGCTGCAGATTGGTGGCTTCTTTTCATAACTGTACATACGGACATGCATCTGTAGGCATCCACCGTTCGTCTATGTCGTACGAATTCATACAAAACCCTTGCCATCTAGCCTTAACTGACAGGCTATGGCTTTGCCGTAGCAGATGCATGCATGCATGCTTGCTTGCATGCTTATCGACACACACACACACACACATATATATATATATATATATACACACACATACGCGAAAGCATGCAGATATACATTCAAAGACACATACATCTACAGATACTTGTACATACATGTATAGTTATATGCACATGCAGATGCATATTTGCATTCATGCCCGCGCTTACATACATGAAAACATGCAGTAACATTTTCATACATGTACATTGACATACATATATACATGTGGTACATACGCATCGGCAGCGTACGCAGATACCTTGAACTATGCTCGACAGCTTGTCTTAGCACTTGTATGTTGTAATGCCAAATCAGCTAGACTGCTCCTATCTGAATACCAACATCCAGATGGCGCAAACACTACAGTGCAAGGTCTGACTAATATTACGACTGATGCAGAGTCGCAGGCGGTGTTGTCTTCAAGGGCATGAACCTTCTTCTTTTTCGTCTTCTTACGGGCACCGAGGGTCAAGGACAAGCCCACCCTCTCTGCTGCCCCTTTCATCCTTGCATGGCTTCGGGACATTTGGAGCGGGTTCTGAATCGCCGAAAATATGCTTAAACTGAGCTGCCGGTTTCAACATGAGCACTTGAGAGCTGGTGATGTGCCGGTTCGGGAGTTCAAAGCCAAGCAGCCTTGGATGACAAAGCCACTGGGCGCGCGAATCCATCCTGGGAGCTGGTGAATGCTGCGTCCCACATACACAACATCACGGAGAGCAACGACGGCACACGACAAATGTCAGATAGGGACATCGGACGGCAGTCCTCATAACCAATGCCTTCCACATGCGTAACGCAGGGGCCTTCTTAATTAGAATAGGCTTTTGGGGCCCACTATACTATAACTATAAATTAATAAGGAACCCCTCAAAGTAGTATTGGTAATTTTGCCCCCTATATTACGTATTTACCTTGGTCTAGACTTGCTTAAGTGCACCAAGGCTTACCCGATCACGGCGACTTCCCCTCGGAGCGGCGGACGGCTCACCACCGCCAGCGAGGTGCCCCCAAAGAAGTGAAAGCGCCAGCTCCTGTGTGAGCTGTGCACGGACAATCTGCAAGTTGAGTTGCAAATGACTCACCTCGTTTGCATCATTAAATTATCTATTGCATTCCCTTGTACTCTGAGGTTGCCAAACCAGAAGATTAATCAACTCATTTCACATCGGTGAAGAGAATGAAAGGTCAAGCAACTTTGCTCAAACCGAGGCCACTGTCTTCGAGCTAGATAAGCTTTGATCAAGACATAGAACGGCAGGGTTTTGTATAGTTGTATATATAGATGTATATATGTATAGGTATGTACATGTATGTTGGTATGTATGTTGGTATGTATGTTGGTATGTATGTATGTATGTATGTATGTATGTATGTCTGTATGTATGTATGTATGTCTGTATGTATGTATGTGGGTAGTTCTCCAAATTAGGGTACCTTCTGAGGTCCCCAATATAGTACGCCACCCTTAAAAAGGCCCTGAAAGGGACCATAATTTAGACAACTATGTATGTATGTATGTATGTATGTATGTATGTATGGTGTCTTTGTTTGCTTGTTTGTTTGTTCATGTCTGTGTATGAACATGTAGCGATATTTTGTATACATACTATGTATATCTGTATGTATAGAGAGGGAAAGGGAAAGGGAAAGGGAAAGGGAAAGGGCAAGAAAGAGAGAGAGAGAGAGAGGGAGAGAAGCAGGGGGAGAGAGAGAGAGAGAGAGATAGAGAGCACTGGAAATGTGTCAGAATCAGAATCACTACGGATACATCCGCCTCGGGGCTGTGCAAAATCTCAAGCGCCGATCATTCACACAGTCTCTTCCTGGATATTCGAGTGGTCCGCATGGGTTGCCAGCAACCGCAGCAAGATTGCAGAGTCACATTCGGCGGGTGTGAGCGGAGGCTCCATCATGGACCCTGTGTCCTCGCGGCGATCATACATCACAGGAGTTTGAGTCCAGATGGGGGTTTCCGAAAATAGGGCACCCTGATAAATATAGTACCCTAAACAGTAGGATCCCTATTATAAGGACCCCCAACATACGGCACCCCTTATTTTGGGAACTCCCACATCTCAAGTCCGCTCAGGATGGCCAAAGTCAGTTGGGGGGGTGCCGGGTCTGCGCTTACCTCGTCGCCGGTGTGTCAGCTGTAGGATATCTGCTGCTCGTTTGTCGGGCTACCCACAGGCCCTAAAGTAGTTCCTTTTGGGGGTTCATATAGAGAATCCTGTAAGGTAATTTTAAAAAGGAACTACTATGGGGCCTATGGGTATGGCTACGACAGATCATCCCGGAACAATCGTAAATCCAACTAGGCTCAACGGCGATGAGATGACATCTCGCCTGCCAGGAGTCTCTGCTGCTATCAGAGTGTGGTCCTCGTCAGATTTCTCTGCATCAGGCACTTTGGTGGCGAGGCACAGCAGTGCCGCCAGCGAAGTTGTGAGAACAGTGGCCGTGTCCACCTCGAAATAAGACTCATGCCATCAGCCTGACTTAGGATTCATGAAACGATCTAGGGACCATTGATGAAATGTCTCACTCTCTAAGACTCTAAGAGTGACCCACCGAACACGGATATCCTTTCTTATAGTGTCCAGGCGACATGGCCATGCAGCGCTGCGACGAGCAGCGGAACAGCCCCCAGGCGTACCTCTGGGCCATGATTCGGGGGCCCAAGGGCGGGATCCAACTGCATCGAATCACACTAGCGGTCACTAGCGGAGATGTATGGACCCAGTTCTCCCCGATCACAGTACCCGGGCAGTCTCCAACGAATCTAAACGCAAAGCTGCAGCAGAAAAATCAGGTGACATAGCCTGGAGCTAAACTGGGGTTCAGTAGCCAAAGGGTATCCGAGGCACAGCTTTGGTACGCGTCGGTTCGGCTCCAGCCCCCATCGCCACAGATCGGAGAGCAGATGCCCCGCGCTCCTCTTGCAGAAGATCGCCGATCCAAGTCATACTGATACTGTATACTTCTCGACGTCCATACTTTCCAAAAGTGATGAGGGCAGACCAGGCATCCAACTGTGTTCGTTCAGCTTGCCATGCCAGCATTACCAGCGGACAACACCTAAGCCCTCTGCCAAAACTCCGGCCACTCGCAAGTGCAAATTTTGCTAACACAACCGCGGCTGCTCACAGAATCGCCGAGGGGGGTTGAGCTGGGCCTTGTTCCCGGATGCAGGCCAAACAACAGACGACGGCAAGACACAAGCCAGCTAGCTCGCCCACGGGTCCTGCACTGCTGTGGAAGATGGATGGTTCCTTGGAGCACGTGGAAAAACCGTGTCAGAGTCATGGCAGAACCAAGCCGGAACCATCCCGCCAAGCTGCAGGCTTCAGGGTTGCAAAGCGAATGCAGCTGCAAATACCCTGATTTTCCCTGTGATCGTACACAAGTGAGACTCGCATTGGTTCAAGATCCCATCGGCTATAATAAGATCAACCCGTCGTAACGACGGAATCTGGGACACATCAGAGCTTGAACTGCACCAAACTCTACACCTCCCTTAACCCCAAAAGCCCTGCTGTCCCAACATCCCCCCCTGCTGTCTACCGAGGATCTTCAAGGCGGCCACAAGGAAGTCCAAGGCCATCGTCTGCCTGCAGGGCTTCGAGTCAGCATGGGGTGTCCGACTCTCACACTCTCGGAGAGTAATATAAGGGGGCCTTAATAATTAGAGTAGGGTTTTGGGGCCCATTATACTGCCATTAAAATATATAAGGAACCCCTAAAATAACATAGATAATGATGAATTGAGGCCCTTATTTTAATTGTAGGTTTGGGGCTTGGGGTGCAGAGTGTAGGTGATGAGGCAGATACAGCTCCATGCGAGGATTTAGTTCATCGCTTCCTGGACTATTCTTGTGGGATCGTGCAGTTGGAAACTGGCAAAGACTCCTTAATGATGTGATTTCCGAATCATTCCGAATCCATGAACTCAACCCAACCCGTCCATACATGTCTGGGGTAGATGGGCGGCCCTTGGATTTGCCAAAGATCTGGCAAAGCGGAAGTTTGTCGTTCCAGGCTGGATAGGCTGGACTAGCTACACAACCTGTATCGGGCATCCGGAAACTCTGAAGTCTAAACTCTAAGCCATGATCGAAGCTATGGCTCAAGGCTGCGAAACCCAGCCTCAGCGTTTGTCGCGACTCCGCGGTCCCACGCAAAGCAAAGGCTCCCACGCAGGCGCAGGCGCATGCCTTCCACTGACTCCGATCTCGCTTGGTCCCAAGCCCACTAAGGTTTTTCTCAGAGAAAAAGTAGGCATTGAGCATGCCGGCGCAAACCGGGATTTCACACTGCACCTTCAATGCACGCACGTCTGCCTGGCCAACCAGTAAATTGCATAATGACAATGCCTGCACTTCCACGGCTCCAGAATGCTCGTGCATGGCCGCAAGGACCTTGCGAGGCTTCAAGCACATTCGCTATGTGTGTGTATATATATATATATATTAGATCTCCGACCTATCGCTTGCAAAGAAGAGAATAATAAACAGAGGGCACCACTAGGAGTGGAGCCTTCTTCGCGCACTCGGCGGAGACGAAGAAAGCAAGCATCGGCAGAGTGATAGCTATCTTATTCTCTTCATTCTGTGAGCGGTGGCTTGTGGCCGATGATTCGTCTTCATGAACGAGATCTCTCTGCTTACAAGGGTAACTTCGCAGCAAGCGATGTTCTTTCCCAAGTGGGTTGGGGCTCTACCGAGGCGTAAAGTCACGTCGTACTACTGTGCCATGTCAAAGACCTGAGTCCTTGACGCCAGCCTACTCGCGAAGCTTATGTTCGAAAGGATATTAAACCATAGTATATGATGCGATATGGTATCGCAGTATATCAGCATCAGCATCAGCATCGGCATCATCAGCATCATCATCATCACCATCATCATCGTCATATACACATACATGCCTGCGTGCATGCATAGATACCTACACCCCCAAACCCACCGAAAGTAAGGAGAGGTCACCTACCTGCCTACCTGCCTACCTGCCTACCTACCTACCTACCTACCTATCTACCTACCCACCTACC